ATCCCCTATTTATAACATTATTTCTCATGAGAAAATTGTTTTTAAGTTGCAAAGTTTCTACTTAAGACGCAGTTTTCAGGAACCAATTTGTGTAATAAGTCTGAGGACTGCCTGTACAACACTGAGACTTTGGAGACTTATCCAGATGTTATGATGTTTTGCATAGTAAACTGACCTGAATAATTTTGTTCATTGGCACATACTGCCTAAAGTTTACATTATTGGATTTTCTAAGAGTAAAGAATAATAATAATAAAAAACAACAACAAAAACCAGAAAACTTTTGCATATCTTAAACTCAATAAATACTAACTGAAGATAAAACTTACTTGTGCAATTTGGCAAGGATCCTGACCATGTTCCATTGGCAGTACACTGCCTTACAGAAGATCCAGAAAGTATGTAGCCTTCCATGCAGGAATAAATTACTGAATTAGAAAATGTTGTGCCATCTATACGAAACACTTTCCCATTAGCAGTTGTTCCTGGGTTACCGCATTGCACAGCTATAAAAGAAAATGTTAAATGTATATGAAATGCAACGAAGATAAAAATTTTTACAAGGAGTAGTGAAAAAGGAACCAGTCCAATGCCTTTACTACCAGCAAAGTTCATGTGATAGAAAACTGTGCTGAAGGTCTAGGTTTCAATTCTTGCTGGTAAGGCATGAGGGAGGGTTGTCATCTTTTTCCTTCCAGGGCACGAATGTTGAAAGTGATATTAAAACTGTCTATTAAAAGAACAACATGTAGGTTACAGACAGAAAAGTACTCAAAATTAGAAAGTATCAGATATAAAGCCAGATGGATTGCAAATTGGCTGAAGGGTCATACTAAGAGGGTAGTGGTGGATGGGTCTTTTTCAACCTGGATGGAAGTGGGCAGTGGAGTCCCCCAGGGCTCAGTCTTCAGGCCCGCACTGTTCAATTTTTTTATTAGTGACTTGGACGACAGGGTGAAAAGCAGCCTGTTTAAATTTGCTGATGATACCAAGATTTGGGGTGAGGTGGGCATGCTAGAAGGGAAGGACAGATTAAAGCAGGACCTGGACAGGTTACAGAGGTGGGCTAATGAAAATAGGATGGGTTTCAATATGGACAAGTGCAGGGTGCTGCACTTGGGCAGTGGGAACCAGCAGCACACTTATATGCTGGGAAACTCCCTTCTTGAGAGCACGGTGGCAGAAAGAGATGTTGGAGTCATTATTGACTCCAAGATGAATTTGGGCCGACAATGCGAGATCACAGTCAGTAGGGCTAACCGTACCTTGTCGTGCATCCACAGATGCATCTCAAGCAGGACCAAGGAGGTGATCCTCCCCCTCTATGTGACACTGGTCAGGCCACAGCTGGCGTAGTGCATCCAGTTCTGGGCACTGCACTTCAGGAGGGATGTGGACAGCATTGAGAGGCTCCAGAGGAGGGCCACTTGCATGATCCACAGAGAGCAGGGCAGACCCTATGAAGAGAGGCTACGGGACCTTAACCTGTTCAGCCTTCACAACAGAAGGCTGAGGGGGGACCTGGTGGCCATCTATAAACTCATCAGAGGGGACCAGCAGGTTTTGGGAGAGACCCTGTTCCCCCTAGCACCCCCCAGGGTAACAAGGACTAACGGCCACAAATGTTAGAGAGTAGGTTTAGACTAGACATCTGAAGACACTACTTCACAGTCAGGGCAGCTAGGATCTGGAACCAACTTCCAAGGGAAGAGGTAATCGCTCCTACCCTGGGGGTCTTTAAGAGGAGGTTTGATGTCTACCTGGCTGGGGTCATTTGAGCCCAGTTTTCTCTCCTGTCCAGGGCAGGAGATCGGACTTGATGATCTACAAGGTCCCTTCTGACCCTTCTTTTATGAATCTATGAATCTATACAAATTTAACAGCAAACGTGTCCATGAGTGATAATACAGTCTACCTAGATGTTCAATTTCAGCCTTTTCCCACAGGACCTCAAATCTGATGTTTCCTAACTTTAGAATATTTGTTTTTGCAACCTAAATAGTATCCTTTTAATAGAGTTTTATAATATATATGATTAGTGCTAAGATGTGTTATGTGCATACCTCCAAGAGGATTTCCAGGCTAAGTGGTTTACAGCATATTTGAAATATCTGGAGATTTAAATAACAGATGTTGAATCAGATTTATAGCAGAAATGATCAACAAATAAAGACTGGAAGGTCAGATTGGCTAATAGTGTTCATATAAAGTTTATAACTCAGATAGCAACTGCCTGGCCAAAAAGACATTAAAGTAAGTTTATGAAATAAGTAGCCTCGTTTAGAGATTACTATCTTCTACTGACAAAGCAATCCATAGTGGTAAAGTGAGAAGTAAAAGAAGAAACTTCTAAATTGTCTTCTGCTATTCAGAAAGCTTTTCTCTCAAAAAAGGTCTGTTGGGAATTATTTCCTATTTGTGAAATCAAGGTAATTTAGGTAACAACTGGTTTCTCATAAATATCCTGTTAGATCTTGTTTTTATGGTAATACATCTTGCTCCACAACTCTATATTCCTTTTTTGAAATAACTGGTTTCAGCTTTTTTTTTTTTTGGTGAAAACTAATAGTAAGTAAAATGCATTAATAAATAGAATTAGTGGGCTAATCATTTATGACAAAAGTTTAAAGCAAAACAGTGAAAATGTCATTTCTCCAAAGAGAGCTCTTTCTAATGGAACTCTTAGTAATTAGAGAAGAAATGAAGTAGGAAAACATTTTTTCAGTAGACAAAGTAATTTTAAAAAAGCTTGATTCTGGTTGTCTATTTTTAAGTAGAAAAGCACAAATATCAAAGTAGGAATGAAAAAAAACCTGAGGGAGTGTACAGCAGATTGTTGTACCCAGTTTATGTTTGGATGGCTTTATTCTCACCTGAACATAGACTGGGAATGGCACAAACAGCCATTTGTCACTTGCAGGAGCTACATGGGGAGCCCAATATAAATAATGTAGTGTGAGGAGAGGGGTGGATGGGATTGAGGGAAGTAGCAGGACCATGGGTGGTGGGGGGGAGGGAGGAATTGGTGGTTGTAATGTGCGCTGGCAGGTCTGCAGGGAGGCTGGGGGGAGTGTTGGTAGATCCATGGGGAAGGAGGGCTGGAGAGGTAAAAATAGCCCAGTTACGGTCCGAGGGTGGGAGTAGCACAACCCAAGGACTGGGACAAGCAGCTAGACTTTCCCAGCCCTAGGGCTGCACTGCAAGCACGTGCAGGCATTCTGGAGAGTGGGTTAACCCTTTCTCAACCTAAGTTAGATTGAGGTGAGTTGGCTTAGATTGGATGCACAATTTTTTGGGTAATGTAAGCCCTCTAAATGCCTGCATGATTGGGCATTTAGATCAATCTAACCCTGGTTATATCAATCTAAATGTCACACCTGTACATACTCTGATCATTCAGAAGGCTGGAAATCACCTTGCCTAGCTGACTGTCTTGCCTATAGTTGTTTACTGCCATACATGAAAAGATTGGGTCAGTCCAATACCTTCTGGACAAATGCCCACATCACAAAATCTGTGATATGAAATTTGTATTCTTAGAACTTTAGCAGAAATGGCAAGAATCAAGAACTATTAAAAATTAGGTACAGACTCAATGCTAGCTCTCTCTCCAAGTCAAAGAAGAGGTGCATTAGTAAGCTAACAAGAAAAAGACATCTCCACTACCTGTCCTGAGAATAAGATGCTTAGGTGCCAGGATCACTTTTCATGTACATTAATGTGTATATTTTAAAGTGAATGTAAATACAAATTTATTTTTTGATTTACCTTTGCACTCAGGCTGTCTTCCTGTCCATGTTCCATTTGGTAAGCATGTTCTTTCTTCTGAACCATGCAGGATATAGCCAATATCACAGCTGAAGCGTACAGTACTTTTAATTTTAAAATCACTGTCTTCTCTAGAACCATGTCCTGGGATTCCTGGATCCCCACAAGAACCAGATGTGTCACCTAGAATTTATGGCACAAAGAGATTAGCGTGAATATAACATTTGATTGTACTATGCTACTATATTTTATTGGAAATGCTGAGAGGTGTCTGTGTAAGGCACAGCGGGCAGGGGAATAATCCCTGCTTAGCAGAAAGTGGGAGTGGAGGAGGGATGCAGGGGGAAGCCAGGCAGATGCCTGCAGTCTCTGCTGAGCTCCAGCGAGGGAGCAGAGGGGAGGGGTCAGCTCTGCTGTACAGAAGGGAGCCCTACCCAACCCAGAGAGCATGTTGGGATGCTGAGGGAGTCTGTTTAACTTAAACCAGCAAGGGGTCTGGGGCAGACATTACATAAAATGGTTTGACCCAAATCAGTTAAGTCTAATACTACATTCAACCAGATTTGTCTCAAACCGATTTCAGACATGTTCAAACTGGTTTATGTGCACTGTACATCTGTTTTGTTACAGGTTTAAACCAGTTTCTAATCACTTAAACTGGTTTGTGTGTAATGTCTGTTCATAGCCAAAGAGTAAATCCCTATTTATTTGCTTCCATTTGTATATATTGCCTAATGAGACTTCAGTAAAAACTTCATATTTTAATGCTGTCACTGGAGTGGTGACACTATCCCTACTGTGTTTCATTTTTAGTTGGTGCTGAAGTCACTAACATAGTCTTAACTCCAGGTGGCCCAATGATTGTCCATAGTTTATAGCAGCATTAACAAATCACTTTGACCTAAAAGACAATATTATGAATAAAATCTTATTGCAGCTGAAGCTCTGTTTTTAATGGCCAAGTTTAAGTTGCCTGGATTGTTAGTTTGATTATATCACCCACTTTTGTCTGTCTTGTCTATTTCAATTATAAGGTGTTTAGGGTAGGTACTACCTATTATTCTCTGTCTGTACAGTGCCTGGTACAATGGGTATTGTTCCCACCTGGTCTTAAGCAGCACCCTTTGCAATAGTAAGTTTAATGCAAATGCAAGTTTTTTTGTCATACTAAAGTATGAGTTAAATGTTTTCTTTTGTAAATTAAGTCTATCATGTGATCCAGTCTACTCCATTGTTGTTACCACAGACAAACATAAATGTATTTGTTAAACCTATTGAGGAATGATCACTCTTAAATCCAAGATAAGTTAATCACCATCCATTTTGATGGTATATTAAAATGGACTAGCAAAAATGCCATATTAATGACTACCCATACAATAACTGGTATCAACTCAGTAATATTATAGAAAGCAATCTCTTTTTTGTCTTTTATAAGGATTCAACTTAAATGCTTTTCTTGGTTTACTTACTGATCATCTCCTCTCCCAACAGCTGTACAGAATATTTCATGGCCTAAATCCACTAATGACATGACAGTTAAACTAGGAGAATATTTGACTCTCCATTTTTATTGGGGTTTGTGGCAAAGTGGGGCTCCCCGCCTAGCCACAGTGCTAGGTTCCTCACTTGCCTTTGGGCACGCCACCCACCTGACTCACCTGCCACACCTTGTTCTTATTTAATTAAGATGTTCATTAAGGCGGGAGGCTGCTCATTCTTGCCCCAATACCTGGGGGCGCTATCTGTGGTGCCGTACCTCCCCTACACCACAGCCCATGCCTCACAGATGGTATCTAGCTGTTATCTCACCAGCCCCACGCTGGGCTCCAGAATCCTCCAATCAGGACCCCTGTAAGATCCCTCCATTCCGACAGCCTATCCCACCTTCACTCTAGCTGTCTAGCTCCCTGAAACCATTTCCCCTCTCAGGCGTGGTCCCCCCGGGACCTTTGGCCACACAGGCCCTTGCCTCACCTCCAAGGCCAGTTGGAACCCCAGGCCCTCAGCTCTGGGCATCTCTCGCGGTGGGCCCCTGGCCCTTTGGACCATTCTGGTCCTGGCCCCAGCATTGACCAGTTGAGAGTATTCTAGCTCAGGCCTCTGAGCCTCTAGCTCCACTCTCTCTCAGGGGGTCTGCCTTCTGGCCCTACTAACAGGTGACCCACCCAGTTGTGGGAGCTGGGGTGACTTACACCATGATTGGTGTTCCAGGGTCTCACAGGGCCTCTCACTCCCCCCCTGGAGCAGCATGTCATTGTGCTCTCTACATTCTGCCCCCCTTCACTCAGGGCTCCAGCCTTTTACCGCTCTCCCTCCTCAGGGTCTTGTACCCCACAGGGCTCAGGTGGCTGCAGTCATGCCTGGCCCCAACTACCTCTGATGTTATGCAAACCCACCCAAGGGTGAGAGCTAGGGTTAAGGTGCCCCTACCTGCCTTTCACCAGTGTGATGACTGGCCTGGCATTTCCTGGGGGCTCCCGCGCCACTGAGAGCCCCACCAAGTCACCCACTCCTGGCAGGGTGCAGTTTTAGATCATGCCCAGGACCAGGAGCCACCTAGCTATCCCCTACAGCTCCTCCCTTACCTCCAGGATGATATCAGTGGTCTTGCAGCCAGGCGATGTCACTGCCTCCCCTGCCAGCAGTGAACTGCCCTGTTTATATAGGCAGCCCTGAAACTAAAATCAGGCACTTGCTGGCTGCTTGGCCTAGGTCTAAAAGTGGCAGGCACTAACAATGCCCTGCCACACACCTCCCCCCTTAAAATGGTACCTGGGGGAGTTTTCTCCTGCTGGTCCTCCAAAGCAGGCTCCCCTTGGAGCCTGTGAAAGCCCTCAAGTGGCGAGTACACCCAAAGGTGCTCCACAACACACCTTCCCCCTTAGAATGAGATCTGGGGGGGCTTCACTTGGTTTCCTTCCCTGCTGGGCTCTGCCCCAGCCTACTGCAGCCCCTGCCATGTGGCGAGCACCCCAGAGTTATTGAAATCCACATCATTTACTGAAGGGCACTGGCAGATATGAAGCTCCTAGCACTAACTCATGGCACTTCAGAGAAAGCGCCATGAGTTAGAGGAACGCCTGCCTCCACCAAACCAACAGACATTCATGGTTGGGTCAGAGGGGTGGAGGATTGAGCTGCACTTTGGAGCTGATACAGGAAGAGCTGCCTTTCTGCATGTTTCTCTCCCATAGCCTTGCACCCCACTCTCAGCTCTGGTGCTGTCTGCAGGATGGGAAGGGGAAAAAGGGAGAGGAGGAAGCTGTGGGATGGGGTTTGCCCAGCCTGAGTTGAAGGGAGGCAAAGGGAGGAGTATTTTGATGTAGAATTTTTTTTTCATCCAGTATAGTAAAAAGGCCAGCTGTAATCATTGCATATTTAATGTGTAACCCACTGCAAACCTCACAATGACAAAACAGAACAATATCAATTTCTGTCTTATAAAAAGCTGGTTTCATTTTACTGTAGGCACTGATGGGATCTGTGCACTTGTTATACATAAACATAATTGTTTTTAGAAAAAGAACTTATATATTTATTTGTTTGTATTATTTTTTAGCCTAAGCCTTTTGAACAAATGCAATATCCACATCACAGATAGCTTTGTGTTTACTAAGGTGTGGGGAAATTTCTAGCTGCACCAATGTTTGTATATTTAATAGCTTTAGGCTTTGTGGATTGGCACTCTACACCTCAATTCAAAGTTGGGAGTACGGAATATATATCCCATGCAATACAGGGTTTAAAGAAAGAACAAGAACCATATATATAAGTTTTAAAATAATGTTTGAATCTAATCATATTTCAAATGTTGGAATCATATTATTTTACACTTAATTGTCCTTTCCGGTTCATCATTTTAGATATTATAAACTATAAAAAAACACTGAGTCATATCCCACTGAAATCTGTACCAACTCTCCCAATGATTTCAGTGAGAGCAGGATTAAGCAGGCTTCCATAAACCTGTCATTACATACAACATAAATGTTGATCGTTCATTTTGGCTAATTTCTCATTTAATTCTAATGGATGGGGTAACAACATGTATCTTTATTCCTAGCAAAAATGTGATGTTTCTTAAGTGAGGGAGGATCAGTATCTAAGGAAACTCTTCTGTCTTTTTGGAATTTTAACAGCAGGATCTACACTAAAAATGTTAAATGTAATTTTTTTTATTTCTATTAGTTTAATACTAACTAACACTGAGTCCTTCCTGTATTACATGCTGTACAAACGCATATTCAGAAGTAGTGTCCCTGACATGAGTAGTTAACAGTTTAAATATTCTAAACTGATAAATTATAGGAGAAAGGAAAGGATATTAAAAAGCCATGCTGTAAAGACAACTACAGTTTTGGCAGAAAACCATGATGACAGCAGTGTCATACTGGCACGCGCAGTTACTTTCTAGCCCTGATTTCTGTGTAGGAATTACTCAGGAGACAATGTGGTCCTGGCTTCTTCCTATTTCCTGAATGTTAAAATAGCTGAATACTTATTATTAAAGTAATACATATCTGAAAATACGCCAACTGAAAAATATTGAACTTTGTACACCTATGCTCTGAAAGCATCATGTTAACAGCAAGGAAACCATACTCTTGTCATGTAGTTAAATACAATACAACTCTGCCAAGATCAGAAATGTCCTTGAACCTCAAACCACTGATCAGCGAGTGGCACAGAGCTGTGTATTTTAAGTAGCCTTGATAGCTATCCTGTTCCAAACCAAAATCTTGGATTAGGATACTCCTGAAGTTTTGGGGGTTTAAAATGAACACAACAATTTTGTGGTTTGATGCCCCATAAAATAACATACTGATTATCAAACAAAACCAAACAACATTGCATCCTTGAAACAAGTCATGGCACTTGAGGCTATATCAATAGGGTAGGTGTGATGTGTAGTTTAGACTCAAGAGCTGCATGCAGACAAGCACAGACATACGGTATGTGGTACTGCAGACCTGTCTGTGGAGCCACACACTGTGCATGCAGGTGTTCCCTGGGCTGCTAACTTATAGCACATGGGGGGAGGGGGCATGCAGTTTGACCCCGGGATCTCCTGGGTTCAAAAACCCCATTCTGAGAAAAAGCAAGGCAGTGCACATGGCAGCAGCATGCACCACCCAGAACTGGAGCCTGGCCAGCTGGAGCCATGCTCTGGCTGCTGGCTAGGCTTCCCGCTACAGCTGAAGCACTGGGAGGCCCCCGGGTAAATCTTTTGGGACAAGCACAGTTGCTGGTCCCAGCCTCCCCTACCTCATCCAGGATAACCTGATGTGAGCCATAGCACATGTAGCACAGGCATTCCCTAGGGACACGTAGTAGTGGTGCAAGGTGTGCCACCACTTGTCACTGGGGAAACAAACTATCCATGCTTGTCTGGATGTACCCAAGGACTGTAGTATCAAATCCCAAGTTCAACAGTGTAGGGTCATGGCCAGGTACTTAGGGCAAAGTGAAACTGGTGACTTCCAGTTTGCCATTTTAAATGAGCAGCTTCTGAGAAAATTGCCCCTAACATCTTCTTGCCACCAGTTACACCACTGCTCAAGTACTTTGGAAGCTAAATAAGTTTGAATTCATTATCTTAAGGGAGTAACAATGTGGGAGGTCTTTCCATGGAAACCAGTATCCTTATCACAGATTGGCATGGATTAAAATTCTATGTTCAAGGCCAACTAGGCAGTTGTCCCATTCTATGGACAAAGTACTTTCACTTCATACTGAACCTTTTTGAGGAAGTTCAATTTTCTCATTCAATTTTCTCTTGTGAATGCAATAGTTTAGTTATTTTATTACCTCTGCCATTTAGATAAATAATCAGGCTCCTGCAAAAAACTTGTGAAAGTTTAATCATTTCAAGACCACATCACGTGACACAAAAGTAGTACCTGAGCAATGAGGCAGTGACGCACTCCAATGTCCATTTAGTTGACATGTCCGAGATGACTGGCCTACTAGTGACCGTCTTCCTGTGCATGTATAATGAACAGTAGATCCAAAGGTATACTTATCTCCAGACAGGACCGCGTTAGGAGGAATGCCAGGATGGCCACAGTCAATCACTACAATGCATAATTATTGGAGATAAAGAAATATTATTATCACTGATAAACTTTTAGCACTTACAGTATTATCATATTTTATATATTTTTTTTTTACGAAGCATACAAAATAGACAAATAACCAGATATTACACACACACACACACACACACACACACACAGATATTCCTTAGATTAAGGACATTCTGTTTTGATGGAAGTGAGCTTTCTGCCAGGACTGCTGTTCCACTAAAGAACAAATGTGCCTGACATACAGTACACACTCACTGACCAACAAATCTTTGCTCAAGGTGCCCTGATGTTGCTCTTTCTAGGACCTAGAAGTAAGGCAGTGAGAATTTTTGCCCATACATCCTGGGCTAAACGACACATTTTCTGTCACATGAACAAAAACCATAACCAGTGAGTAGCCTCTATAGTCATACACGTGAGTTGGTATGTTTTGATAAATACATTGTTTATCAACAACAAAACAAAACAAAATATTGTCAAGATCTAACTTCCAGGTAGGGTGCATTAGCTGCCCAGAAAAGCAAGGACATGCTACATATTCCTAAACTCACAGAAGTACAAGGAAAACTCCCATGAGCCACCATAAAGCAAATTAACACTGTCACTTCTCATTTCAGCTTATTTTTCAACATTATAATAAAGCTGAAACCAGTTTTATTTTGTGGTATGTGCTTAACTGTGTGGGTTGCAGACTGAAACCCCATCAAAACTCAACTTCATATTCAATACTAGTAAAGACCTCTATTTTAAACAGTGTAGAAAAGAAGGTCTCTTTAACATGATGCATTTGCACTCATAACAACAAAGAAACGATTTGAAAATAATCAGTCTTAATTTCCTGTTGCTTTTTCTTTTACGCATGTAGAAAATTCTTGTGAGAAGCTCTTAAGGAAATTGGCCAAAATCTGTCTAGGAACATTAACTACATGGTTATAATGCAAGAACTGCATTTTAAATCTTGATGCAACCATTACTAGTTTTAGCAACCTGGTATACACTGACAAGTTTTAAGAAAGTCATGGGCAACTTATGTAGTTTAGCATAGCAGGCAGCTATTCAATAAGACTGACGTAAAAAGATAAAAGGCCTTATGCATCATTATGGCAAACTTTATCCATATGGATAATGTATGTCAAGAAAATAATGGTCTTCCCTGTAGTGCTGAAAAGAAATGAAAAAGGCTATTGGGATTTTGAAAAAGAGAACATTTTCAAAAAAGGTTTAATTATTCTTATATTTTCTAGTGGCTGAGTTGGTGGGGCTGAGAATGTGGGCCTTTGTTAGGATTTCAAGTATATGCCTACAACATACATGACTATGTACTTGTAAAGAAAGCAGCAACAACAGTAGAAACCTAGAATAAGGGTTAAGTATAAAAGAAAAGAAAATATACACAAGTGTGAAAGTGTACAACTAAGCCACCAAAGCTAACTTCACTTTATTCCCACAACAATTCTAAGCTTGCATGTTCCCTTCTACATTTCTGCTTGGTGAGATACGTTGATTCAAAGACATTTTTCTAAGCATCTTATGAAGTCTTCAATTGAAATCAAATGCTGGAATAACCACTACACAGATTCAGGGAACCTGTCACTTCATTTGTCCTGTGCATCATTTCTATCTTAATAGTTTAAAGAGAAGTCTTCAGTACACAGCTGTGGACTTAGCAGGTTTGAAGAAGACTCTGAAAGGACTTAATGCTGAAGTTGTATATAACAGAGTTTATACACGGTGCATGACTGATGCAAAGGGTGATGATTGAACACTCACTAATATTTGCTTGCTATAAGTGCTATAATTTAAGGATCTCTGTCTTGGAGTCTTGCACTTGTAAGTACATAAGTCTGTGTTTAATGACGTGTATAATAGTTAGCATGGGTTCCATTCTGCAAGCTACTGCGCACTCCTGTTCCAATACAGCAAAGCATTTAAGCATATGATTAGCTTTTAGCACTTGAATAGCCCATTGATTCCTTTGACTACTTTAAAGAGCTGGAAGTTAAGCTTTTACATACCTGTATTTCTAGATAAAGGCTAAAATGCTTAGCGTCGTGCATCCAGCCCTTGATGCAGATAAATGAAACTGCTATTAATATATTTATTTAATCACATATCTATAAAATGATTCTCTTTTGTTAACTGTATATGAAAGGTCCAAACAGGATCATAAATAAGTATGAGGCATTTTGATTATGTGACTAGTGATCAGATAAAGCTATTTATTATGAATATTTAGGGTTGTGTCAGAGTTTCTGGTTTTCCTTTCTCCTGAGACAATACTCTGGAAGCAGGTAGCTCATGTCAGTCTCTAAACTATTTATGTTCATATGCTTGAGTATCCTTTACAACTTACCTTAACTCTGAAATTCATGGTTCTATACGTGGATGTAGGATTTTGAAAAGCCAGGGGCAGACGATGTGGTTCATCATTGTACAAAACATAATATGTTTTTCTCCAATTAAAAAGATACCAGACACTCTACTAATAAACTAGGGACCTAGGTACACTAAGGGCCTAAAGTTATTTTATTCAGTTTAAGATCAAAGCAAAAACAAATATAATTTTACTGGCATGTTCATGTATAAAAGTTTATTGGAACAAGCTGTATAGTTTAAAGGGCTGTCGGAAAAGGTGACTTGAGGAAAGGCCCAAAAGTTTGTCCAACAGCTCTTCCAATGTACATCTGGTCCAGTAAATGGTATCACAAAAAATCCTTGCCTCGTTACATGAATAGTGAATGGGCAGATGACTAAGGGCTATAACGTGTGGAACTGCAACAAGCACTGCAAGAGTGTAGTGAAGAGGGCAATGGGGATATGGTTCTGAGACTTCTTAAAGTGTTGTCTTTAAAGGCAAGCCAGAGCTTTTGCTGCTATGTTCTTTGTACAGCTGCAAGGGGTTGGGTGTAGAGCACAGCTGATCATGCACACTGAAGAGCTGCACGCTGAAAAGCATGGTTCAGGACTTTCTGGCTGCTTAACCCATTCCCTGCTGGCTTCAGAGTGGTAATTTGGTCCCTCATTGCCACAGCAGTGCTGGCCACATAAAGGAGAGGGGGGACTAGAGGGGATGGGACTTATCCCTGGAGCAGCATGTGCCCCAGACCCCAAGAGCCCTGCTGGGCTCCCCACCCCCTTTAAATCCCTCTATCTGCTGGGCTTACCCTACCCACTTTAAATCCCTCCATCTGCCCCTCCACCTCCTCCCTCCACTCATTTTATCAGCTTGCTTTTCCCCTTCTAGCCCAGCCTGACATTGTGCCAGATACATCAGGCTCCCTTAGTGCAGCTGCTGAATATAGCAGAAATCAAAGAGGGGTGCATCTATGCCATTGCAACTCCTCTAGATCAGCCCCTGCCTGGTTCCTACTGGCTTCCTTTGAAAATTGCATTAGTTCTGTTATCTATGCCCTTTAAATTGCCTCTAAAGCTTCCAAACTCTAATTCCAATTTAGCAAATAATCTTAAGTGAGAATTTCCTCAGGTTTGTTTATGTTAGATATTTCTTACGTTCCTTCTTTTCCCTCTCCTCACTGCCAATTTTATCAATCACTTCTTCTCTGCCTCTCTCAGTTAGTTATGGTAGCTGGTCCTTTTCTATCACTTAACTGCATGGTGCCTTTTTATAGCTGTATAAAGCTGATTCTGTATTAAGACAGACAGCTTGGAATAGCTTTAAGGAATACAGCACAAAGGAAGAAGAATAAGGGGGAAAGAATTACCTAGTTATAGCACTTAAACATTGTGATAAAAAGGATGTTACCATTATTATTGCCAGTCAATTCCTATTAGATAAATTCCCCTCCTATCTCACTGAAAAAATGAAGTTCTAAGAGAAAAACGTACAAAGTGCTCTTTTCCTATGGAGGCACATCTATTATGATTAAAATAGTTTAATGGGTATTAAACTATTGGATATAATTCCCATTGCTAACTATATAACACAAGCAATTCCAGTGAAGGGAGTGGTAGAAGTGTTCATCCTAAACTGATATTCAGGATCTAAACTACCTGTCATAATTCACCTTCATAAAACTAGAAAATGATTTGGACAGCCTCTAAGCTGGTGCAGATTGACCCTCCATGTCTTAAGTAAAAGACAAATAATCTTGAGAAGCACATCAAAAATTTGCCAGTGGACATTTATCCTAATTCCAAACTAACATTAACATCTAAGAAAGCAATTTACAAACATGTAGGGTGGCTACACTGAGAAGTGCATGTTGAACTACAACTGTGGTGGTTAGAAGGAACTCAGTTCAGCTGGGGCTGCTCTCCCTTTATAACCTTGATACAGATTGGTCAGGTCAGGTCATATAATAATAAATAAATTTGCCTATTATTGAATGGAAAGGTCATGGTCAGTTTGAGGGTTGTGCTCACCCAGACCAAAGGTATAGGGGCTCAGTTCAAATCCAGTGCCAACAGATATCCACCTGAAATGTCACATGGCTTCTGCAGTCCATCTGGAGGAGGCCTAAGTATTTGAGTGTGTCACTGCTGGGCACAACAATTCTGCCATGTAGATACTGCTTCAGGACTCATGCACAGCTCCAATCAGCAGCGAGACTGAAATGCCAAGTGCATGAAGTGACTGGGCACCCAGTTGGGGAATATCTAGGTAAGTATGACAAGCCTGTGGCAGAAAGCCACCTTGGTTTCTCCCCAAAAATCTCTGCCCTGTGACACTGTGATTTAAATCTCTGTGCTGTGACCATTCAATTAGGATGGGCCCAGCACACAGGGGACCACACCCTCAGCCTGTCTCTTTAGGGAACTGGAGCTGGCTGCATTCCTGAGGGAGGGGG